GTAATATAAATTGAAGTTGGGTAATGTCATGCCTCTAGATCTGTTCTTTTTGCTTAGGATCACTTTGGCTACTCGAGGTCTTTTTTTGGTCCCATGTGAAGTTTAGGATTATTTTTTTCTGGATCTGTGTAAAATGGGGTTGGTATTTTGATGAGAATTGTATAATGAATATTTTGAAAAGCAAACAAAATAATTAGAGAGATATTGTTTTTTTCTTTGTGAAACCTGAATGAGCTTCCTTTAAATCAGCTTTGTCAAACAATCTAAAACAAGCAATTTCCCTGCTATGAAGGTCTGCCTGTTTCTCTGGTGATAGGGTGCCTATGGGTTTGGATGTTGGGGTCTCAGTCTTTCCTTTGGACTAGGCTCTGGGCTGTTGGGGTATTGGTACCGCAGGCGCCTGTGTGAATGTAGTGGGATGATGGCGGATCTCAGGGACGGAGGGAGTTGGTGACTACTGCCCCGAGGGAAAGGTGCACTGCAGCTGCGGGTCTGGTTTCAAAATGGTACTGTGCAGTAGCAGCTGAGGTCATGGGGGTGGGTGATGTCAAGGGGGTTCCTGCTCTGGGCCAATGCTGTCCTGCAGACTCCCAGCAACTGTCCACGCTGGATTTGGAACCTGTGAGGACTGGGGGACCTTCCCGGAGCAGTGACTGCTGGCATCCGGAGCAGTGATGTGGACTTCTGAGGGTCTGCACCTTACCTTTTACCCGTAAGAAGAAGACCCCCTGCCTCCGAGCCAGTGCTGGCTGGGGAGACCGCATGGCAGAGGCCAGTGCTGCGCTCCCCTCTGCGTGGTGCTACCCTGGGCTTCCGCGCCGCTCAGGGACTCACTGCTCCCTCGTGTTCTCCATCTACTTCCCTGTCGCTCCAGTGGGAAGACAGTTGTTGATTTGTGTGCGGGTCCCTTTTTGTGGGGGATGGTGGCAAGCATCTCCAGTCAGCCACCTGCTGATGTCTGATACTTGCGCTGCCATCTGACGTCATGAAGGTCCGGGAACTGGCATGCTGGGCAGTGAGGGAGCAACAACGTGCACACCAGTGTTTGGACAGAAAGAGGATTTTCAGGCACTTTGGGAGAGGGACCTTTGAGTCCTTTCACCTAAATAAGAAAGTTTTTTTTAAAAAAGCTATGGGAAGTATGGGTAGGCGCTGCCCTGAAGCAAGACAACGAGAAAAGCCTGCGACGCTTATCTGGTCCCCGGGCATGAGATGTCTGCACCTTCAGGTTCTGCCTGGCCCAACACTGCCAGGCGGGGACTGGCCCAGTGCTGCTTGGGCTCCCGGGGCGTGGCCACACTGCTGGCCTGGCGGAGCTGGCCTGTGTGGGGTGAGTGTGGTCACAACCCTCCATTCAGTTCAGCAGGTACCTTGTGCCCAGCGCAGGGCCAGGAACCGGGCGGCTTCTGCAGCCCTAGGGATGCTGGTCCTCGGGGCATTTGTGCTCTGGGGGAGGAGCAGGCACAGTGCAGGCTTTTAATTCTGGCGCAAAAGGACACTTTCTCGGAACCAACCTCAGGGGGTGTCCATCAGCACCTCTGCAGCGTTCCCGTAGCCCGGCAGGGAGTGGCAGAAGCTGGGGAGGGTGGGAAGGGGCCAAGCGGATTTGTTATCCATGTATGAAAAACTTCGGAGAATGACAACTTCAGCTCCAGCCCTCGCTGTGTTTAATCTGGACCATAACCAGGGATCCAGCAAGTTAAAGGTGACTCTCATCCTGAGTTTTATTGTTCCGATGTTGGTCCTTTAATATGTAATTTGGCCTGATGTTGAGCTGAGAAAATGCATTGTCTTATTTCACCCTTGACATTTTTATTGCAGGGAATTTTCAAATCTGTGGGAAAGACTGTTTGGGCTGCTTCCTTGGGAAGTATTTAAAGGGACACAAGTCAGCTACTGAACACAGGGAGAGAGGAAAAAATTGGGGAGAAGAGAGAAAGAGAAAATACAAAGGAACTGAAGTGACCCTAGTCACAGAATTTACTTCTCCACTTGTTCTTTGTATCATGTTTTGAAGTAAGGTGTGTTAAATACTTGCCCAATAGTTGTTTTTTTTTTTTTTTTATTCTGTGGATCAGATGTGAATTGAGCTTCTTGTTCCTCTTTAGGGGGAGGGACCCGTCCCCAGCTCTGAGACCTCGGCCATTTCTCCTTACTTCTCTGGGCTTTTGTCCCTTCATGTGCAGAGGGGGACCAAGAATGTCCACTGCTCAGGATTATTTCAGGGGTTAAATGAGGTTCATCGCTCATTCAGCAAGTGTCTGCATGTGCCTGGCCCCGTGCTGGGAGCTGGCTTCTGCTCCCCTGGGCTTATCAGGGGATAAGGATGCAGTTAGTGAGCCATGGATTGAAGTCGGGGTGAGAGGGAAGATGTACTTAGGTGAAATCTGGTGTCTGGGGGGGAGTTTATTAGACAAGGGGCAGAGCTGGGAGCGGAGGAAGGGGGCAGCGTGTGCAGAGGTCTGTGGTGGGAGGGCACCCAGCGCACTCGAGGGCTGAGAGGAGGCAGGGTGGTGGGGCTCGGGGCGGAGGGCTCGGGGAGACAGGAGCAAAAGGGGGCTGGGGAGGCTGACGGGTGGAGACCACAGAGCATCTGCTGGGGCAGGTTTAGGCAGGGAAAACCATGTGGGACTTGCATTTTGGGAAGTGTGTTCTCCCTGCAGGAGCTGGCCTTGAGGTCTGGAGGAGGCCAACAATTTGTCCCTTGCTGGAGTCCAGCTTTGATACTGGCAGCTTGGACTGTGGTGGTGGGCGGGTGGTGGAGGGGGATTGAGAGAAGGGGGCTGGTGTTAGAATTGTTTAGGGAGTAAGATCCTCCGAACCTGGTGACTGTCTAGACAATGGGTGGTAAGGAAAAGGATGGTGTCAGGACGAGGTCTAGATTTCTGCCTCATGCAACTGGGTAGAGTCTTGTTTCCTGAGATGGAAGCTACCAGATGAGGCCTGGTCTTGGAAATGTCGAATTTTGAGTTATCTTTGAGACATCCTGGTGGAAAATGTGGCCTAGGTTATTTGAGTGTGCCATTTTGGAGTTCGGAGATGAGGTCAGGCCCCACCTTACCCTCCTTTCCTGTATCGACGTTGACTGCCACCTGGCTGTTCAGTTCCTCCCTTGAGAGGCAGAGTGAACTTTCCTGACCTTTGACTGGGGGGGGTCAATTCTCTTCCATAAAAAACTCAAAAAACCTTCTTGACCCCACACTCCCCTTTATATGAAAGTTTGTGTCCCCCAAAATCCATATGTAGAATAACCCCCAAGATGATGGTATTAGGAGGTAGAGTTTGGGGAGGAGACTAGGTCACGAGGGCTTAGCGCCCTTCCAAAAGAGGCCCCAGGGCCCGCTCATCCCTCCCGCCACGTGAGGACACAGAGAGAAGACGCAGTCTCCGAGTGAGAAAGTGGCCCTCACCAGACACCAGCTCTGCTGGTACCTTGCTCTTGGACTTCCCAGCCTCCAGAGCTCTGAGAAATGAATCTCTGTTATTTATAAACTACCCAGTTTATGGTATTTTGTCACAGCAGCCTGAACAGATTAAAACACCCCTCCAGCTATAGCTACCTTATGTCTTTCCTCCCATGCATGGTTCACGCTCCTCCAAGTTTACTGTCTCTGTGATGAGGCTGCTCAAATACGGTCCCTCCAGCACAGCTCCTGGAGTATAGTCCTCTTCCTCTTTAGACCTGTGAAACTAGAGAGAGAAGGTACCTGCCTCCATGCCTAATATACAACGGTGGGACACGTATACTATAACCATTGCAGATATTCCTTTTTAAATAGGGGGAAATGAGAGACACACACTAGTAACTGGTCCATAGCAATTCTGAAATCCAGCTGGGCCAATGTTAGAAGTTCCTTGATTAGGTCTCAAGACCTGGAAATTATTCTCTATAGCACTTTATTTTGCCCTCTTGTTTCCTCCAAGTCATGCTTCTACTTTTTTTTTTTTTTTTTTGGTGACAAGTAGTGCATGTATTCAGTGGAGTAGTTTTCATAGCTTTCTTATTATTGGTAGGATTTTGTGGGTCAAACTTCTTCCTTTTATTTAGTTCTATCTTTATCTATTTTAGTTTAAGCTAGAAGTATTTTTGCTAGTATAAATCTCTCAAAAACTTTGTGGGTCATATGTGAATCTCATTGCAGGTGACCCCATTAGACAGAAGCTACGTTCACAAATGTTTTCTGGATTATCCCTTCAGCTTTTTTCTTTCTTCTTAGGATTTAGTTTGTTGTTCTTTTCTAATTTCTTGACATAGAGACTTCGATAATTGATTCTTAGCCTGTCTTCTTTTCTCTTATGTGCATTTAAATTTATAAAATTTCCCTCTGAACATTGCTTTAGCTTCAATCTCATGTTTTCATGTTATATTTCATTTTCATTCATTTTTTAAATATTTGTAATTTCTATTATTATTTCTTTCTGACTCACAGGTTATTTAAAGAGTATTTGAGAATTTTAATTTCTCCACAGTTGTAGCTTAATTCAGTTGTAGCCAGAAAATAGAGAACATAATCTGTATGTTTTCAATTCTTTGAAATCATTGAGATTTCAACATGTTGCTCAAATCTTCTGTATAATTACTGATACTTTTGTCTGTTTATTCTATCTATTTTGGAGAGATATTTGTTAATATATCCAGTTTTGGTTATGGATTCATCTATTTTTTCCTTTTATTTGTGTAATATTTGATTTACATATTTTAAGCCTATATTATTAGGTGCATATGAATTTGGAATTGTCATGTCTTCTTGATGGATTGACTCTTTTATTATAAAATCTACTTCCTTCTATTCATGTTTCTTGCTTTTGAGTTTAATTTGTTATTGTTATAGCATCACTGGATACCATTGGTTAATGCTTGCATGATGTATCATTTTCTATTTTTTGCTTTCACATTCTCTGTATCCTTATATTTAATGTTTGTCTCTTATAAGCATCATAGAGTTGGAGTTTGTATTTTATCCAATCTGATAATTTGTTTTTTAATTGACATATTTAATAATATATTGGAGACGCCGTAGACCCGCGACCCGGAGCAGCTCAGGAGGCGGTGAATAATAGCTCTTCAAGTCTGCAATAAAAAATGGCCTCCAATAAAACTACATTGCTCTCCCTGTATTATGTGGGCGCAAAATTAAGGACAACAATGAAAACGTTACATTGAGATACTTACCGACTTGGCTTAACAGTGTCTTAAACCTAATCTTAGGACAGCACAGTCTGGATTTTGCTGAGTATTTTTATCTTCAAATAAAAATGCACAAATTTATGTAACAGGAAAAGAATGTTACATAAACAAAGTTGTAAAGTCCTTGTTGGTTGGCATAATATTCCTTGAATCTACTGAGTTCTAGTGAAGTCAAATATTTTCAGTAATGCCCAGTTTAGAGAATAGCAAAAAATGGGAAAGAAACAGAATGGGAAGAGTAAAAAGGTTGAAGAGGCAGAGCCTGAAGAATTTGTGGTGGAAAAAGTACTGGATCGACGTGTAGTAAATGGGAAAGTGGAGTATTTCCTGAAGTGGAAGGGATTTACAGATGCTGACAATACTTGGGAACCTGAAGAAAATTTGGATTGTCCAGAGTTAATTGAAGCATTTCTTAATTCTCAAAAAGCTGGTAAAGAAAAAGATGGTACAAAAAGAAAGTCTTTATCTGACAGTGAATCTGATGATAGCAAATCAAAGAAGAAAAGAGATGCTGCTGACAAACCAAGAGGCTTTGCCAGAGGTCTTGATCCTGAAAGAATAATTGGTGCCACAGATAGCAGTGGAGAATTAATGTTTCTTATGAAATGGAAAGATTCAGATGAGGCAGATTTGGTGCTGGCAAAAGAGGCAAATATGAAGTGTCCTCAAATTGTAATTGCTTTTTATGAAGAGAGACTAACTTGGCATTCTTGTCCAGAAGATGAAGCTCAATAATTGTTTGCATTGCTTTTTATATATATTTATATATATATATAAAATCTGGGTCTTGGTTTTTGATTTACTAGTGTGAAGAAATAACTACATCTAATAAATCAAGTTTGATACAAAAAAAAATAATATATTTATATTTATTATAAGTACTGATATATTTGGCCTTAAATCTATCTACCAACTTAGTTTCTTTTTTGCTCATATGTTACATGCCCCAGATTTCTCTTAAAGTGACTTTCTGTATTTTTCATTTATATTTTTCTTTCCTTAATTTTCTACTGATTTATCTTCCAGGTCTCTAATTCTCTCTTCTGTTATATTGAATCTACTTTGATCATGTATTGAGTTGTATTTAGTTATTTAGAATGATAAATAAATACATTTATTTATTTGATTTTTTATGAAGTATAACTTATGTACAGTAAACCTAAGTGTTTATTTAGCTTGATAAAATGTTACACACACACACATATCTATATCTATTTTCATATTCAAGCAATTAACAACCAGATCAAGATGTTTTAAGTTCCCAGCACCCCAAATTCTCCTTCTTGTTCCTTGTATCTGATATTTTCCTCAAAGATAACCATTTTTTGACCTCTGTTACCATGGATTAATTTTGTCTGTATTTGAACTTCCTATAAATATATTTCCTTGTATTTATTCTTTTATATCTCACTTTGTTTACTGAACATTATGTCTGAGATTTATCCCTGCTATTCTCTGCAACAGCTTTTTTATTGGTATGAAACAATGGATTATATGACTATACCACATTTTATTTACTCATTCTATTGTTGATGGTTATTTCCATTGTTTCCACAATAGTATTCTCTTGTGACATTTTTCTTTTCGTGTGTATCCAGTGTGTTTGGTAATTGCCGACCAAATGCTGGACATTGTGATCATAATTTGTTGAAGTTCTGAATAATGTTATCTTCCCCTAGGGAAGTTTTGCTTTTGCTTATTTCAGGCAGTGAGATGAGGCGCAGATCAGTTTAATTCAAGCAGGTAGTGAGCTGATTTGAAGTGATTTTCAGTCTTTGTAAGGCCAAGTTTATTTCCGGATCATTGTTACTCATATCTGATGCTTGTTGGTGCACTCTGAACAATTTCTCCACAGCACGGTGAGAGCGCCCAAAGCTCAGCCTTTCAGACACTTGACTTTTGCTTTCCCCAGGGCCTGTCAGCTTCTGGGCCACTGTTGGCAAACCAGCAATCACTTTGATGCAGCCAGTGATGCAGAACGTTGGGCTCACTTTCGTGCATTTCCCTTATCCCTTAGGGAACTCAGCTCTTCCTTTCGTTTAGTTCTATCTTTATCCATTTCAGTTTAAGCTAGAAGTGTTTAAGCTCTTGGTTGAACTCTGTGTGTTTCCCCCAGCCCCGTGGGATTGATGAAACTCTGCTCAACTGGGCAGCCCACTCATGGTGGCCACTTTGCGCTTGGCTCTAACCCTCTCAGCTCCAAGCTGTTCAGGGATTTTCAGATACCTGGAGGGTGAAAGCAGCACGTAATGTCAGGCTCACCCCAGTGCAGTTCCCTAATCCCCGGGATCTTTGTGTTTTTTCCAGTGTTTCTTCTTATTTTTGGCTGGGAGTTTGGCCTGATAAATTGTATCCTGTCATGCTAGAAGCAGATTGATGAAATAAGTCCAGACCATTTGTTTTCAGGAGTGGTTTGCATTAGAGCATTATCAGATGATTTTAAAATTCGATTATTATAATAGTCGGTGAGGTAGTCAGCAGGGTTATTGTCTCCATTTTATAGATGGGGACACTGAGGCTATCAAGAGGGGTTAAGCGGTCGGTGGAATTTGCGTAGCTAATATGTGGGGGGCCATCTTCTTAATCCTCACCCGACACTGAAACCCCCTTGCTCTGTACTGACACCACCTACTGGGGTCCACACTGTGCTCAGGGAACAGGAAGCAGCAGTAACCGAAGAAGAGGAACCTGGTGGGTGGTGGTCCAGCCACTCATTTAAAAGGAAGGTACTCAATGAAACGTGAGTGAAATTCTCTATAAACAAATGCCATGTGGATGCAATTATTTTAGCTGTAAGTGACTGGGGAATCCCAGCAGCAAATAAACCTCCTCCACATGCAGCACACCGGGCCACCACCACCACCTCTGGGCAGAGGCGGTGAGAAGCAGAGCCGCAGACGCCAGCCCTGGGTGAAGGGGTCTGGGACTGTGGGGAGCCTTCTCGTGGGAGCCGCTTCAGGAGTGCTCTGCAGCCCCAAGAGCAGCACTGCGGGTGAATCGTGGCCTTCTCTTGTCTGGCGTTGGCAGTCTGCAAACTGACCGTATGAGCAGAGCACCATTTGGTCTGCCTTTCCTGAGAGACATGCCCACTGGCGGGCCTCAAAGTCGAGGCTCCATAGGGTGTGACAGTCGCCGAGATGCAGAGCCCCGATAGCCTGTGCTGGGGCCTGACCCCATCACGGGATCCTCCCTGTGCCTGGCTGCCCTCAGAAAGGGCAACCAAGGGAGGACCCCTCTTACTGTCACTGTACACCTGGGAGGGGAGGGGACTCTCCTCAGGTGGCTTCCTGCGTGTCCTCCGAATGTTGCCTTGTCCTGTGTGGCTTGAGGAGCAGAGTCTGGCAGTCTGGAGGCGGACACCCAGCCGGCCCCAGACGTGCCTGAGGAAGGCACGCGAGGGTGAGGGGACGGCTGGCACCCGGTGTGACCGCCTGGCGGAAACCAGGCTCCGTCGACTGACTGTGGAGCTTGTGTGTCAGCGCACTTGCTGAGTGTGGGGCGCCCGTCTCAGGACCGGTGGCATCAGACCCCCGGCCGCCCGGGAGCCCCTCAGCTCTAGGCTCCCTTGGGTCTGTGCGCGGTCCCCCGGGAAGCGCTCTCTCCGCCAGCCCCTCAGCGTGTGGCGCCACGGCCACGAGGACCCCGTGAGAGCCTGGGCGGTGCTGTTCCTCGCAGGCGACACGCTCTCCCCACGGCCCTGGCACGAGGACGCTGGGCCCTGACCGGGCCGAGCGCTCCGTGGAGTTTCCTGCAGGTGCGGATGCGGGGGTCACAGGTCCTGCCTCACTCCTCCGCATCCTGGGGGGAGGGGCGCCATGTTCCGAATTCCTTCAACAGTCCCCCCATGTCCTCTCTCCTCGGCGCCTTGTGTTCTCTTAAATAGAAACGTTGACCTTGGTATCTCTTTCCCCAGGTGACCTCTTATGGACTGAATCGTGTCCCCCCCAAATTCATATGTTGAGACCCTAACCTTCAATGTAACTGAATTTGGAGAGAGGGCCTTTAAGGAGATTATTAAGATGATAAGGGTGGGCCCCAGTCTGATAAAACTGCTGTTCTTATAAGAAAGGAGGAGACACCAGAGATCTTTCTCTCTCCATTTGTGCACAGAGGAGTAGCCATGCGAAGACACAGCAAGAAGGCAGCCGTCTGCAAGCCAGGAATAGAGCCCTCACCGGAAACCAACTTTGATGGCGTGTTGTTCTTGAACTTCCCAGCTCCAGAACTGTGGGAAAATATGTTTCCATTGTGTCAGTTGTCCAGTTAGTGGTACTTCGTCATGGCAGTCTGAACTGACTAATGCACCCTTCAGTGCCGACCACATCCTGAAAACTAGAGCTCCCCCTCCTCAGCCCCACGCTGGGGAGGCTGCACACTCTTTCCTAGGTTCCTAAAATCGTTTTTAATCTTACAAAGTCCATCAAGTCCATCAACACAAAGTCTCCCAAGTAAGCAGAATGAAGACCTTCAGCTGTGCTGCCTGAATGCACACACCACACCGCACCTGCACCCCCTCACACCACATATACCACACCCCACACCTCACACATACCACAACCTTACCACACACATCACACACAGCATATACCACACCCCACACCCCTCACCCCCACACCTCACACACTGCACATATGCCACACACCTCACCACACATCACACACAGCATATACCACACACACCCCTCACGTATACCACACCCCACACCTCCACACCTCACACACTGCACATGTACCACACACCTCACCACACATCACACACAGCATGTACCACACACACCCCTCACGTATACCACACCCCACACCTCACACACTGCACATATACCACACATCACACACAGCATATACCACACACACACCCCTCACATATACCACACCCCTCACCCCCACACCTCACACATTGCACATATACCACACACCTCACCACACACATCACACACAGCATATACCACACCCCTCACCACACACATCACACACAGCATATACCACACACCACACCACACATCACACACAGCATGTACCACACACACCCCTCACGTATACCACACCCCACACCTCACATTGCACATATGCCACACACCACATCACACACAGCACATACCACAAACATCTCTCTCTCTCTCACACACACACACACACTCTATACCCCTCTCACACAGCCCCATGCATGCCCCCAACACCACATGTCCAAGCCCCGCACTGTGGCTTGGCGTGTGTTTGGAGTAGAGACGTGGTTAGTGACGAAGAACTTCTGTTGTTCGAGCCTAGAGGCAGTGACAGAGGCTCCTGCGTGGCCCCCTGAGCGCCAAGGCCTCCCTCCCGCCGCGCGCCACCGGGCCTCGGCCACGCCAGGGAGACAGGGCTCGAGAAGATTCCTCCTGGGCTGGACCGTTGTTCCTCCGCCAGTCATTCCTGCGGCAGGTTGAGCTGTGTCCCCCACGACGACAGGTAGAAGCCGTGACCCGGGTCACCCGCGAATGCGCCCTCGTTTGGGAAGAGGGTCTCCGCAGATGTGAGTAAGTTGGGGTGAAGTCACACTGGAGCGGACGGCTGTAAAGCCAACGCCTGGGTCCTTAAGAGAGGCAGGAGGCGGATGTTTGGAGACGGACACAGGCAGACGGCCGTGCAGGCGTGAGGCGTGAGGAAGCCCAGGCCCGGCCGGATTCTCCCTCACCGGCTCCCGGAGGAGCCAGCCCTGCCGGCCCTGCATCTGGGGCTCTGGCCTCCTGAACAGTGACAGCACACGTCTGTGGTTCTGAGCCCACCCGTGTGCGTGTGCGTGTGCGTGTGTGTGTGTGTGGCGGTTTGTCACAGCGTCTGCAGGAAGCTAGTACGACCCCCTAAGCATCGAGCAC